TTATCAATGATACACATGCTATGGGATATTACTCATTGCTTGCATTGATATGTCTGAGGGTTAAGCAAATACAGTTAATAAAAAACAGCTAAATGAAGCAGAAGCTGCATAAATCAAATTAAATGAGGGGGCTTCGTTTATATAATAACAGAGGTGGGTGGGTTATTACTTCAAATGTAGAAGGGAAATTAAGAAGGGGAAAAGGAGGGACTTAAAATTGGTCAAAAGTGCAAGTCATTAACCTATTACTAACATTTAATTAACAAAATGCTTATTGTAGTTAATTAGTTAAAAGTACAGGTGTACCGGTAATAATTAAAAGAAAATTTTAGATTTTAACACCATAAAAAAAACAGAAAAATGGTTTTTAACACACAAAAAAAAAAAAAAAAAAACATTTATTACCTCCATTTCTTATTAGTTGCAACTTTAGGGTATTATTTGTGAGATATAAAATATTCCAAAGTTGCAACTAATACGAAACGGAGGTAGTATTTTAACACCACAAGAACATCTCAAAATTGGATATTAACACCACTTACTAGTTTTCGTCCAAAAATCCGTCAAGTGGGGTCCATTTTGCCACGTGTGACCACATTATTAGTTTTAAAAAAAAAAAGAAAAACTAAATATTTAAAATAAAACAAAAACCCTAAAACTTAAACAGCCACCCACTCCAACACCGTCGGCAGCCCGCGTCGCCGTCTACCCCACTCTAACACCCCCTTTCTCAGCCCCAACCACCGCAATCTCAACCCCCCCTTTTCCCCGACCCTAAAACCGACCGTTTTTGACCCTACCTCAATGGCCACCAAAAACGGGTGGCTGTCGTCCGTTTTTCAAACCACCAAGAAACAACCACCATAAACGGCAACTAAGGGTCAGAAACGACCGGTTTAGGGCCTAAGTGGTCGATTTCGACCATAAACCGGTCGTTTTCGACCCTGAGAGCCCTATTTGGTTGTCGTCTTTGGGTGGTCTAAAAAACGGCCGCCCATTTTCAGCGGTCGTTGAGGAGGTTCAGTCGGTTTTGGGGAGGGGGATGGAGGAGGCGGAGTATGCGGTTGCTAGGGCTGGGAACGAAGGTGTTGGGTAGAGCATTGGTCGGCGCTGCCCAGTGGTGGGGATGGGGGTGGCTGGATTAATTTAGGTTTTTTGTTTTTTTTAATTATTTTCATCTAATAGTATGCTGACACGTAATCAATGTGTATAGCGATGACAATTTAATCCGAGTTCGATACGAATCCGACCTGAAGAAAAAAAAATCTGATCCGAATCCGTTTTATACTAGTCCGAATCCGAATCTGATAAAATAATAGATCCGAATCCGAATAGGAGGCGGATCGAACTTGGACCCTACGCAAAGTCTAATGGGTCCGATCTGAGTCTGAAAACGAGAGTATGAGCATATGCTTTATAACTTGGGACAATTGTTTACTTGTTTTGTTGCAAAATTTGTTATGTAACTTAGTTCATAATTTAAATATGTTATGTTTAATCTATACTTGGTATGACAATACAAGCAACTATAGGTATATATGACATTACAAAAAAAAAATAAAAAAATATTTAGATTGTTTCGGAGGTCCATATATATAAATGGACCGGATTTGGATCCGAAAATCACAAGTCGGATTGGATTCGGACTCGGATTTTTCGGATTCGGATCCAAGTCCAAGGTCCGTCTACTAAACGGATCGGATTCGGATTTAACTACATCCGACCCGAATCCAATCCGTTGCCATTCCTAAATGTGGATCACATTAACGAATTACATCCATGAATCAGTTTAGTGGTGGTAAAAGCCAATTTTTAAAAAATTTTGTGGTGTTAAAATAAAAGTTTTAAAATTTTTTTTTTTAAGTGTTAAAAACTATATTTTTTTTTTTTGTGGTGTTAAAATCTAAAATTTACTAATTAAAACATAAGCATGTGTATTATTGATTAAAGCCCAAACATGGGGTGTACCAATGATAAAAAAGAATCCTTCCTAATATGGGGGTTGATACATCAATCTAGCTAGTAGAGGCCTTTTAAGTAGACCTTCTGTCTTACACCAAATCAAATTCTTGTGGCCTAGGGCTCAAAGAGGACAATATCTATTAGTGGGCTCATGTTGACTTAAATTGGGGTGTACAAATTGGGTGATACTAAGTCTTGTTTAGGCCATCCTTTGTTTCTAAGCAAGTTGCGGATAGCAACACAATGCCTAAAGGGTCTACATCGATTGCTAATGAGGCTATTTCTTCAAGGAATCCTTCTTTAACCTCGAATCAATTTTGTATGAAAGGAAAACAATGTTTCAAGTGTCAAGGGCATGGCCACATAGCTAAAAATGTCCTAACTTGATGATCATGTGTCCTTACGTACATGTGACCGAGAGGAATACTACCTCTACGCTTAACTAAACAAATTTGGAGGATTCTTCGTTCCAAGACAACTTAGTACCACCCTACGGAAGAAAACGCACGTCATATTGGTATTTTGAGGAAGGTGTTGCATATGGAGGCCACACATATTGTTGATTTGGTGCAACGAGAAAATCTCTTCCATACACAGTTCTTAGTTGGTTCTAAGACATGCTCTTTGATAGTAGATAGTGGTTGTAGCACATGTCATGGACAACAAGCTAGTTGATGATTTAAAGTCACTCGTGCTCATGAGCGACCATATAAGTTTAGTTGTCTTAGCGAGGGAAATGACATTTAAGTTATAAAACAAGTCCCAATTAATTTTATGTTGGGTGAGTAAAAGGATGCTATTTGATGTGATGTTGTTTCAATGACAACTTGTAATATCCTTTTGGGACGGACTCCCAATTTGATCAAGAGATTTTGCATCATGGGAGAAATAACACATATTTGGTCAAGTTTGGGATAAAGCATCTCTAACCTAACCCCTTTACCAAATCAAAAAGTGATGTGCGTAATAGATTTTCCGTTATGCATGGAAAAAACCCCCTTATGATGTTGGTGAATAGTGATTAATTATTCCTAAGGTTCAATGTTCAGAATGTGTTCTATAATTCTAAGAAAAAGGCCAAATTTATTCCAAAGGTTATTTATTCTTAAGGTTCAATGTTCAAAATGTGTTCAATAATTCTAAGAGAAAGGTTCAATGTTCAAAATGGTGCATAGTGAAAATTTTGACACTTTTCAAATTCTTGTTGGTGAAGATGTTTGTGTTTCAATGTGAGCAAATGACTTGGTACCATGCTTTATAGAAGGAACTTGAGGATGACTTTTAGAGGGGACATATGATGCGGGAGCAACCAAGGTTTATCATACTTAGATTATTATTTTAGTCTAAATTTGACTTGCACATTTTAGTATTTTACCATTCACTAGAACGACCTTTTCTTGTGTGTTATAAGCATATTAAGATTCCTTAATTTTTTTTAAAATTAAAAAACTGTTCTTTTTTTTTTTTGAGGGACACCTTTTATTTATTTTTGGAATATTAGTTGTTTCCTTATCTTTTAAATCTAAAATCTATCTTATAGTTTGTAATGCTTATTTAAGGCTTCGCAAATCTACAATAAAATTTAGATAGTTATTTGAGTTCAAAAAATTGATAAGCATAAGCTATCAAGGTTTAAGTTTAAAAGTTCATCCCGTCTTGGATGCGGCTGGCCATGCCATGTGGTCATTTGCAAAACAACAAAGTAACCCTATAACACTTATCGAGTAACCCATGTTATACTAACTGAGTAACCCCTATAACACTAACGAAATAACCCCTGTAACACGGACCGAGTAACCCCTATAACACTAATAAAGTAACCCATATGTTGGCTGGTCACACGGTGCGGCATAAGAATTTGTTTTACTCATGGGTCATTCTAGATCAATGTCAACTACATATAATAATTTGTGGAGTAAAAGTTTAAACCAAATATACAACCGAGATTTGTATAACTTCAAAGCTGCAAGCATGCAACCTTTGAGTTTTATCTTGCTGCTTTAATAATTTATGTTTCAACAGAATCCATGAATTCTAAAATTCTAAATTTCCAATTCGATATCCACGTCACGATTCCATCTAAACTTCACCTAATCCAACCGTATCGAATTACACTTTTTATTTTACCCTAAATCTTTCTGAACCAAATTTATCCAATTCTTGTACGATCTCACCTAAAATTGACCCAATCCAATTTGTATTCAACTACACTCTAACTCGACTTGACCCAAACTTGAGTGAACTTAACACAGCCTGTTTTGCTTATATGAGCTAGAATGGCCCATTACTTCCTGTCATGATCAACCCAGATCCAAACCATTTACCCAGATTGACACCACCTAAGGATATGAACGTCATCGTCTATCAGCTATGTAACTGATACAAGTCGGTCCAAAATTTTCTAGTGGTTTTTGAAATGAATTTTTTTTATATTAAAAAAAGTTGGAATAAACGTAGCCGACTGGCCGACCATGAGTGGGTCAGCCTGTACCTAACTAGTATTGGACCATACTAGCCCACTATTTATCTCTACAGAGTAATTAACTAATTAATCTGTTCATTAAATTATAAAATAAATACCAATGACGCAAAATAGAAAGATAAAACCATTATATATTAGATTTTTGCAAAAACGCAAAATGATAACCATTGATATGGCCAAAAATAGCACATGCTCATTGGTCCACCTTATCACCTGTACACTTGAGTAACCACATCTCTGAGTCTGAGTGCACCATTAATAGGATGTAGGTCTCAACGTCCTAATAAATTTCATAATGGCCATCCATAACTACATATAATATGGAATGACCAAATTCAGGCTTAACGCCCAGCACTTAGCCACATAATTGAATAATATGGCCATAACTCCATAAGTAACCACGTTGTGGTGACTGCAGCATAGAAGCCAACACATCAAGCCAGCAACACATCGTCCAAAGGCCATCTGGGATACGACTCATACGAACCAGATGGACAAGGACAGCAACTTCTGTATACAATACAAAGAGGTCAAAGACGACTGAAACAGATCAATGTCAGCCAAACAATATTTTTTAACCAGATTGCATAAATCATCATAAGTAACCAAGCTTACTACTAGATCAACTTATTGTCTAAAGGTTGTCTGGATACGAAGCAGATAAACAAGGAGAGCAACTGCTATACTATAGAGTACAAATAAAACTGAAACAGATCGCTGACAGGCAAATAATTTTTTTTTAAACAGATTGGATATATGTCCAAAGTAAGATTATCTCAAAATAAAGCAAACATAACTTAATTGTCATGGTAAAACCCCTAATTTTTGGCCCGTCAGAACTTGAGACTGTAAGGTGGTCTGTACATCTATACAATTAGTTCATCTTCTAGAAAACTATACTCGAATTTGAAGTCTGCTTTGATCCTTTGGCACCTGAAAATAGCAAAGTGAAGTCATCAAAACAAGCTTGACCCTGACCAGAAACAATTAAATAATTAGGAGCCAGCAAAGCAAGGCGGAAAATTCTCCTTTGTTCACCCCTTCATCTAAGGAGTACGTTTCAAATGTCAATATGCCATAGTGTAGGGAAAAAAAATATTTATCAAGTATTAAGGAGCTATTCATGTCATCTAACTCATCTTCACCAGAGGTCCATTAATATATACTTTGAAAACCAAAAAATTTAAGCAACCAACATAATTTAACCAATAAGTTATCAAAAACCCAGATCATGGGCAGATTATTTGTGGCAATCAGCAAAGGAATAGTGTACACATACCATCCTTGATTTGGGTCATCATTGGCAAGATGAAAATCAAAGTATACGTACGTCCCCTTTTCAAAATCATCAGTGGCAATCTTTGGTTCTTCATGCCTCTGAAACCATGTGTAATATTTTCTATGGTATCTCCATGATTGTTTCTTTAACTCTTTTGCAGCCAAATACTGTTGATAAGTATTCTGTAGACAGTAATCAAGTATAAAAATAAGGAACCAAGAATAAAACACACAGCAATATATCAGAAAATTAAATTAAAGTATGATAACCCACCGGTTGATAGTAGAATGCAAAGAATAAGGTATCTGTCCCCAAGGTATCAAGACCCAATCGTTCCCAGAAAGCAGGATTGTTTACAATTGGAGCCTGAACTTGTGGATAGCTTGGAGGAGTTGCTGCAGGGTGTCTCTGTACGAAGCACAGAAAAATACAAAAATATCACATCAACAGGAATCAAATATTTATTGGTCAAATCAAAGAATATGATGTCAAATTGTCATACAGGCGTATAACTCTTTGCTCGTTCTGAGTCTTTGGGCTGAGGAAGCTTGTAGTATGCAGCCTCAAGCATCTGTGTATTGTACACAAGATCATGCACTCCCCCAGAGTTGGCAGTTCCGCCAATGTTATCACCAATGGCCCCAAGGTCTGAGACACTTCTCCGACCAATAACTCCAAGGCTAGCAGATGGTTGGCTTGATTGCAAAGGTTGGCCAGGAGAAAGATCTGCATCCCTTGACAGTTGGGTGGATTCTGGCAGCGGACCAGAAGTACCTCCACTCTGCAAAGCAGTAATCACTTAATAAATTTGAAGAATTGAACATCATCTGGATTGCTGAGACAAAGCTATAATACAGAGAGACAATATGAGCAGAGACTTGCAATTGCAACCCTCCATCTCCTTTTATTTGCGAAGCTTGAAACATAAAAATATTAATAAGCCAAACCAGGACCTATAAAGCTTCAAAGTTCAAACACAAATACATTAAAAGGCATGTAGATCAAGCCAAAGAGAGCAAGGGCACCACAAGAGGTGGGTAGGGGCAAGCGGGAATGTGGGCACCCATCAGTTATCATAATGCAATATCGAATGTAAGACTTAATAGCTAATTTCTACATTATACTTAATTTGTGGTTTTTTGAGAAAAATAGTGTCTTAATCTAATCCTTATTGGAATATAGTAAATGTAATATCGAATTTCAGGCTTAATAGTTAATTTATACTACTAAATTTGTAATGTTGAGGAAAATTGTTTGACTAAATCTAATCCTTATTGCAATATATTAAGGAGTTTATAATCAAACATAAAACTAATACACATTTTAGTTGCAAAAATGCTAACCAAACATTGATGGATAACTAACATGTATGAGAGAGGGGCTGGTGCTGAAGTATCAAATTTGGCTCAATCACATTCAACTGAAACTCTGAAAGTAAATAAATAATTGATAGGTATCTACTAATTCTTAACCATGAACGTCAATCAACTGTTACCAAAACCACCCTGGAAAGATGAAATAGGTTGAATAGAAAGTGCAATGACCTGGAATGGTCAATCATCAGGAGTTAAGCAAAGATACCATCTCCATTTATCCCTATATAGTCTTTTTTTGCTAGATTCACGGCTGTTCTGCATACTAAAAGGGTGAGTCTCCTAATCCTTGTACATCATTCAATCCATTTTCCTCCTAGTTTCAAAAGGCACAAAGAGATTGAGATGCAAAGGGTCTTCAAAAGGTGTATTTTGGTGCAATCTTGTAAGCTTCATTTCAATGTGTTTTCAAAACATCAACTATATCTAATATTATCCAAAAAAATATCAAGGATACAGTCATAGTATGAATTTGTGACCATGACTGTCAAAGAGAGCATAGTAAAAAAAAAAAGGGAGTATTACTTAAATGCTTGGCACATGCTTGTATAGCACAGATTATCAATGAAAAGCCACAAAATTCCAGTAAAACTGATAAAGTAAAAGGATTCCGAGGAGAGCTTCAAAAAAGATCACTAGCAACTGCAGGCCGATCAGGTTCCCCAGCCATCTCTCTCTCTCTTAAATGGAATAATGAGCAGCCACTGATTTTGACTTTACATGCAACATGAAAATAAGGGTTTTCATCTAGCTGAGGCTTTGATCTAGGGTTCACATTGAAGCAAACTCTAGAATCTAGACATTAAACACAATTTTTTTGCTCAGAAATATAATGTACATTCAGCATACAAATGTACTTCAAACAAACTTTGGTTGTTTTCAATAAATATCATCCCCTTTATAAGTTGCACAAGTTGCAAGTCGAACACCACCTCAACATTGTCTGAGACATGGACCAGGATTTTTGTGCCTATGCCTATAAACTCAAATCTAAAAGGCTGTGCGACCTAATTTATCACAATCCTTTTATTTACAACATCTACTACTTTCCACAAGCAAATCACTTGTCAAAAAAATCTCATATCAGATGAAAACAAGTGACTTATGAAAACACAAAATGCACAAATTTAATGGCTGAAATATACATACAGGGACATCCTTCACATAAGAAGCTTTAAGATCATCATCATTCATCAAATTTTTGGAAAGCCCAGAACCAGGAGCTATCTCAACTGCCGAATCCTCAGGCAAGTTCTGCTGTTGTTGATCCTCAGTAACTGCAAGAACATTAACTGAATTATGCATATTCATACATGTACTTGAATTCCTACATAGCCAACCGCACTAGGTAACAAACTTCAATATACTTAAATAGCAAGATAATGTGATGCTATCTACCAGAATCTTTTGGAGAAACAACTAAAGATCCTTGCTGGACACCTTGCTGGATAGGAATTGGTTGCTGAACAGTTGCAGAAGAAGCAGTGCTTAAGCCAGGAGATTGCAATCCTAGCCCAAGACCAACTTGAGAGGAGAGAGACGAACTTTGAGAACTTAACTGAAAAATGTGAGAAATAATAAGATATTTACACACCTACAGCTTCCCAATCTGAGAAGCATATACAGCATATAAAAAAATAGAGATCACAAGTGAAAATGAAGAGCAGCCCAGTACACGAGACTCCAGTAATCGAGAACATAAAAAAGCCAATATATGCATCCTATTCCTGTCCAAACATTTGGACTATAATAAATCCTCTTTTTTATAATCACTGAGTAGGAGGAATGCAAATTTTTAAGCAGACATGAGTGATATAATAGGACCTATATGATGAGGAGGGATAGAGATAATCATAAGCCAAATAAATAATGTTGCAATTATAGTGCAACTTCCCAAAAAGGATAACACATAACTATAATAGATTAGAGGGAGTACTAACTTTATAACTAAGAGGAAAAGAGAAAACTTGAGTAACCTTAAGCTAAGGCTCTAAAGAAAAAAAAAAGGAAAAAAAAAAAAAGTTACAAGGCAAAAAGAAAAAAAAGTTACAAGGCAGAAAAGGTGGTAAAACAACCAAAAAAAAACTAAAGAAGGCACATACACACATTTAGCAGCACCACAACATATTCAATGAAACTACAAATATCAGGCTAGAATTTTGCATAAAACTATAGAAGAGCATTCAAACGCTAAGGCATCAAAGTTTTAACTGTCACTTGACTTTGATGATAGTGAAATAATGCCGCTCATTGGTGTAGAATTTTTAGGAGGAAGAAAGGGGAGCTCCAATGAACAGAATTTTGAATTTTCAAATATTGAACAACAAAGTTCTGCAAGATTTAATCTTAGCAAAAAAGGCTTAAGCCGCTTAACACTTGCTTGGGTAAGGTAAGACAATGTCTACTAGGAACCATGTATTGATTTTTGCTTTCTACTAATGTGGCCCATTGGCAAAGCTGTGAAGAGGTTTATTGTTGAAAAAAGCAGAGCCAAGCTGTGGACCAGGAAACAAAAAAAAAAAAAAAAAGAGTATGACAAAAAAAGGCTCAATAAGATACTAACAGACTCAGTTTTCGAATCGGGGAAAAAAAAAAAAAAAAAAAAAAAAAACCATTAATATGAGGATGTAATGGTATAACTATAACTTATAACTTGATGAGACATAATGAGATAATAAAATATAAAGTTTCAACAACAACAAAGCCTTAGTCCCAAAATAAGTTGGGGTAGGCTAACATGAATCATCTTAAGGAACCATCCGACAAAGAAAAAAGGACATAACAAGATAACCAATCAAAAAAGTTTGATAGGAGGTGTGTAAAGTGAGAAAAAGAAAAAGCCCAAGTAAAATTTTAAGAGAGTTTTAAAAGAGTACCAAGAATAAAATTTAAGAAAGTTTGCAATAAAAAATTACTTCAGATGAAATTATGTTCAAAATAAAATTTTATATTGAGTAGAAACTACAAATACATACTTTTAAGTTCTAAAGCAATTGATACGTACTTCTAATGCAGCAATCCTCTGTAAAGCAAAAATGTACCTGCTGCAAAAGTGGATTTTGCTGCTGTCCTGAGAAGGGTTTAGAATTACCACCAGCAAGATTTGGCATTCCAAGAATGTTACTGTGACCTTGCTGTTGTACTTGCTGCAACCTTTGAAGAAACTTTTCCCTTTGATCTGGAGCAATTTCAGTTCGCCCACGAAACTGTCCCTGTATATGCACAACTTATCTTCAACTAAACACAAAGTTCGTCTATCTTATTGATTGTATAACGAATGGATTATTCTGCGCAAGCAGAAGGGAAGGACCCTCAATCCAAGATGCATTGTAGTACAGCAAGATGCAGTATGACATGCAAGCAGAAGTAAAGAGCTGTACTTTATTCTCAGGTAAACGTTTAATCATGATTAGTTAATTGAATGCATGGGTGAATTATACTACACCAAATTAAGAAAAATGGAAACAAAATAATAGACAAATTATACCATCAAGTAATGTTAAAGAACATCAGGTAAAACATCATTGGGTGGGAGGGAATTTTGTTTCATAATAAATTCATCAGAAAACAATAGACAAAGTCCATTTACTCCAATATTATAGCAAGTCCCAAACGTAGCTATTTAGTTTACAATTCGATGTATAGGTAATCTCACAAGTACACTCTGCAAGGATGCAGGCATCAGACATGTAAAGTAAAGCTTGAAAATATCTACAATATCCTGAAAGTCCTTCCATTCTATTGCAAAGCACAATCTTAATCAGTAGAAAGCATCATGCTTGTGTACTTCTACAGAATAGCTCTCGATACAATTTGAAGAGCTCCAGCAGGTCACATATTAGTAGCACTTCAATTCTAAATAAAATGCATACTTGTGTTTGGTTTGTCTTTTACCATTTCATTTGTAAATGTTAAGCATACTTTTATTTTTTGACGAAATATTAAGCATACTTAGTACTTGGTTTTGTGATCAAATGCAATCTTCTTCTGACAAACACAAGAGGAACAATATGGGACTTACCCCTTCACTCTGAGTCTGAAAAGTGCTTCCAGGCCTCCACTGCATTCCAGGAACCACAGAAGAAGAAAAGGCTCTACCAGAAACAACTGCAGCAGCAGCAATATAAATAAAACCACATAGGACAGATCAATCAATTAGCTTCATACGCTGCAGCAAGAGCATCATACTGATTATAAGAAAATAAAAATTTAAAGGTTGCACCATACCACTACTTGCAAGCCTCTCATCAGATCCTAAAATATTTCTCTTCGTTACTTCTGATGCCAAAGGAACTGAACCAAGAGTCACGCCACTGCTAGGAGCTGTACCAACAGAACTAAGAGGGACACTAACAGAAGGTTGGCTTGGAATGCTGCCCCGGCCAATGCCCCGAGTAAGAGCTGCAGGATCTGTGAGAGCAGGTGATGATCTTCGTCCAGGAAAGTTCACTGCATCCTCTTCTTTGCCAATAATCGGGGGATTCAGAGGAGAAGAAGGAATGGCACCTTCCAGAATGCCTCGGCCAGAGACTGGCCCAGAAACAGAAGCTGTAACACTTGGAGAGGCAGGTAGAAGAGTAGAAGAGGTTGGTATAGGTGTCTGGATTGTAGGTGGATTTGACGGATTGGAAGAGCTGAGAATGCTAGTCTTAGAAGGCGGAGTTTTTGGAACAGTATCAGAATTACTGTCCTGAGAATTTGTTTCATCTTGTTCCGGAATGGGAACAGTCAATTGGGAAGACGTAACAGTGGCCTGCCAAAATTAAAAAATTCAATCAAGATAACAAAAGGTCAAACAGAAATTATTGCTGCCGCAAATTCACAAGAGCTGACAAGAGACATTATAGATATATGGATAGGTAGCGGCAAATTATTTTCACATGAACTTGAAATAGAATGGTGCAAGAAAAAGACTGCAAATATCTAAGGATTGTTGCTGCTTATATCAAGAGATTAAGCAGCTTAAGAGATTTGCTAAAAATAGACAAATAAAGACACCATATGAGACAATCCATTAACTCCTACCCGTTGAAATGAATAAACAAATATATTAATAAAAGAGAATATAAGAGAAATTAAATTCAATTTGCACAAAAATAAACAGGCTCTCTTCACCTGAAATCTCTTGAGATCTGGTCTAATAATCTTTTTGGTCTAGTCTAGTCTAGTCTAGTCTAGTCTGGTGTAATGATTTGTTCTGGCTAAACTTAGATGGTATATTTAACCTAATGTATAAAGAAAAGGAAAAACATTATCAAGTGAGTTCTTCTTAGATTCCTCTCAATATGTACTTTCAATATATGCAATTTTCAAAAAATTAATTCAGACACAATTAAAAATATTTCAAGTAGAGAAAAATTGTATATCCTGATCTGATCAAGTCAACTCAATCCTGTTCTGAACTGATCTAATCCAACTCGGCAAGTAATAAGACATTAAGTTCTTGGAATAAGTTAAAGAGTAAAGGTTCTAAAAACCTGAACCTCTGTAATACAGATGGAGACTTAAACAAGGCTGCCAACAATTTTTCTAGTGGGAAGATGCATTGAAAGGCTAACACAACAACAGCCCAAAAGATAGTGACAACGTTTTTCAAAAGAATACTTTGAAAGAAAACATGAAGCACATTAATTAAATAGCAATCTACTAGCAAAGGTTTTTATAGAATACCGATGACAAAGAAGATGATGTATTTGATGATGTCTTTAAACTTAGAACTGAGCTGGCAGCACCGCCACCCTGTCAAACAAGCATGAAGAAAGGACTTTTTACTCAACATGACTTGGTATCACTCTAAGCATTTTCTTCAAAAACCTAATGGAAGAATCAGGTAGCATAAGGCTTTTGAACATTGATTTTAAAATACATACACCCACAGCACATACTTATTGCATAGGCATAATAATGTTCGCTACAAATTTCTTTGAAGCTATAATCCTATCTCTCTGCACAATCACTACTGGTAGAAGTTAGCACACACATTTAGTTTCAAACAATTATTCATGACAGCATACAGCAAAAGGCATTTCTATTCTAGAGCAAAACCCCTATACTCAACTAATATGCAAAAAGCTAGTAACTAATCGACTATTCAATTTCATCATAGTTTGATTGACGAGCAATGATAAGCTTTTCTAGCCAGAATAGACAACATACACACACACAGCAATACAAAAAGAGAGGGGGAAGTGTCATGTTTGCTTGAATACAAACCACTATTTCATTGAATTGTATGGACAAAACAATGTTAAGGTAGTAGCATTGATAGAATCCCTAAATTGACTTGGCAACATAAAACACAGGCTACGCCATTCACGAAAGTAAAATCCAAAGAAAAAACTTTACTAGATTAACAAAACGGCATGTCACAAACAAATAGTATTGCATATCACATCAGTTATCTTCAGTAATAGGACTGAAAGCATGATTGATACTTGTTAAACAATAATTACATCAGTTATCCTCAAAATACCATGGACCTTATTACCCCTCTGCTAGGAGCTAACAAACAGCTCGGTAAAATAAAAAATATTTATAAAAAAAAAATACTCAAACAACAAGGATAAAGAAGCAAAAACAGTGATCATCATCAACAACTATGGAAAAAGTAACAGTGTGGCAAGATCACTGCCATGTTAACAGTGTTGAACATGTCTATCAAAATCCCAAATCAAAGTTAAGACAGTAAGCACAGAGCTAGAATAATATCAATAAAGCAAAGTTCTTCAAGAAAAACTAAAACTAAGGCAAATACATATACAACTTTTTTTAACGGGACCTAAAGAGTACAAAAATCCGAACCTGTGACTTCATGCCCTTAATCTCAATATGGTAGATTCGAAATTTACCGCAACCGGTGTTCAAAAATCATGATCACGCAGAAGATTAAGAATGAAAATGCAAAATCAATCAGCCAACTAGCATAATTAAATGCCATAAAGTCATGCTCAACAATCAAGGAAATCAAATAAATATATAATGGTTGGTGCGCATATACATATTAGATATCTGTTACACACCTTAGCAAGTCCAGGTTGACCCATTGACACAAGATCTTCAAGAGCTTCCACTTTGTCCAATGGTAAGGTGTTGTAGAGCTCGTCAACATCACTAAATTCATCAAAATCTTCCTGGATATCATATTCAAATGCAAAAGGGTAAAACAATAATGAGCTAAACACAGAACATTATCAAAATTCAAAAATCCTTTCGGAAATAAACGCCAGAAAACAATTCAAAATTCACAAGTGTTGCCAAATAAAATACAAAATATAAATAAAACAACTGCAGCAAAAAAAAAGACAGACCTGATTACGCTCCAAGTAATCTTCGAGAAAGTCCTTAACATCATTGACATGTTCAGCACTCAATTCATCATTGTCTAATAATCTCAATATCAATTCTAATTTCATTACATGGGCCTTGTGACGAGATATCGAAGTCTCCAAGTGTGTCTACGAGGAATAAAAAAAACTTTAATGACAATTTTCCCATGTCTTAAATCGTAAAACTACTTTGGTATCATCAATTCATTAGAGGTTATTGTGAAGTCTCACCAGTCTAGGAGGTCTCGCCTTTCCTTTCTTTACAGATAAGCCCTCCATCTCAGCCTCAAAATTATCAATTTGAGACTCTAACTCTCCTACCTGCAGAGGTATAAAACACCTAATTAATATAATAATCGATAAAGATGAGTCATACTAATCTGCGGAAATCCCATAAAGCCGAAACACAGGATAATAAAATCTAGAAACACAGAATAGAATACCTACTGATAAAGAACCCATTTGAAAATCTAATGAAGAAAAGTAATATAAAACAAAATATACTCATGCAGTCATGCTTAAAGTTTAAATATCAAAACTCGATCCAACTTCCCTGTCAAAAAATTTTGCCAAGTCTTGAACTCTTGATACACTCATGATTGTTGAATATAGTAATTTAGCAAAAGGAAACCATGAGATTACATGTTGCAAAAAATGTGAGATAAAAAGGAGTTATGCAACATACCACATTGTTCAACCAGTCTCTTGTCTCTGATTTTGCTTTCTCCTTAGGGTCCTATCAAAAATATGAGAAAACATGTAACTGACTAAAGAATATTGAGAATAGAATACATCCAAATAATCTTCATAATAATCATCTAAATGGAAAGAGCGAGAAAGATTGGAGCATACAAATTAATAAAATCATGTATGTCAATGTACCATAATGAATGAGAGCTATAGAGACATCTAACCCTATGTTAATGACAGTCAATAAAGAGTACTGGATATGAGCATACTCAGAGACTAAAATTTGACATTAGCTTAAATCTAAAGAATGAAACTACCCAGAATTGAGAAATGGTAACTGAAGAGCCTTATTTTTTTTTTTTAAATAAAAAAAACAAAAAAAAAAAAAACAAACAAACAAAAAAAACAAAAGACATTTGGATTAAGTTTTAACTGAATTGTAAAGTTTATTTAACTTTGCATATAAAATAGCTACACATTTAGTTGAAAAAACACCATATATAATATTGATTTCTTTATTTAGTTTCTGTCAATTTCAGCATAGTTCATTGCCAAACAATTTTTATAAACTAAACCAAATAATACAGTCTTAGATAGCAGATCTGTTAATACTACCTCCGGTCCAATTTACTCGCAACAAAGGGGTATTATTTATGAGACATAAAATATTTGTTTGTTGCGAGTAAATTGGACCGGAGGTAGTATTTGTTATCAAAGATAGCCTCTACAAACAAAACAAATAACCCATCACTCGATTATCTGTCTTTACACCCTCTGTCTCCTTCAATTAAAAAGCAACAAAGATTAACCAATGCAGCAGCAACGTGCTAGGAATTAGCATGGTTTCTGTCATGATTACAGCTTAATAATGGCAGAAATTAGGGACTGAAAATGATGATTGTAATGATAATATGTGAATTACACTAATCAAACGATAATTCCACTTTCAAGAGGTGGATGCTCTCCTAACATGAGCTTTCAAGAGGCTCACTCTCTCCCAATAAGAATCCTCACAATATTCAACATGATAATTACTCCTCCTAATGAGGTCTATTTATAGAAAAAGTCTCATAACTAACTCTAACTTATTCCTCAAGACACTACTAATAGGCTATGACTAATGTGCCCCTCCCTCAAATACTGATTCCTTGCACAACGCATAGCAGATCACCACACACTTTTCTCTTGTACTTCTTTGCACAATAACAAATCCAACATCTGTGACGTATCATCTCCCCTAGAAAGGGAAGTCCCTCAACATCAAGAATTCATAAGATTTATGATGCACCTAGTGAATTAATAAATTGCCAAGTCAACTCACATGCTACTACTGTACCAGTGTCATGTCATGTCAACACATACAACAGCCTAAATGTCATATCTAAGTGAAATCAGTGACAGTCCAAACTCAAAAGCAGTAATGGGGATGAAGTTAAAAAGAAATAAAACAGTTTTTCAATCTTACAGTTTTAGGCTGCTGGCCTAGGCCTTCTTTTGAAAATGCTTTCGTCTTTGTCTCCTTCTCACATATTTTAAATCTTTCCATTTCACGCTCTATAAGCTTGCGGGCATCCACCAAAGCCTGCTCATAAGATGCACTAACCTACGTCAACATATATCACATTGTCAATCATCAACATCAATTTGAAAGTGCTAGACATAATAACGCAAAGTCATTTCAACTTGACAGGTGCAACTTGTGGAAGTAGACTGCTTTCTAGTTTCTGCATAATAAAGCTACAATTCTGTCAAAACGAAATATCAAAAATTTCCATCTAATTGAATCAATTACCTTATTATTGGGATTTCCCAGAAAAACATCAGGCACATAAAACACACAACCAAATTAAATGCACAGTAAAGAAGCAAAAGTTGAAACTCTCCTTCACATAAAGACCAAAACAAACAAAACAAAATCCCATACTTGGGCACTCGGCTACTCACCTTCCATCCCAGAGCAAAATCCTATGCGTGGAAATAAAGCAATTTCGATATGATCTATGTTATAAATATCACCTGCTGCAAAAAAAATAGAATCTTGGAAACGAATCCTACGCCTTACCATGCTGAGTGCACAATCTTCAAAAGATCAACTCTTTAGCAATTTAACATTACATGTAAACTCAGTAAAAATAGTCTCTGTGACCTTTCTCCAAAACTAAAAAAAAAATAGCCTCTACAACTAATATAGCATAAAATGTCTAGCGCGCACCTAAAGATCTAATAAGAGAAAATGAGAAACTCTAGGGCAATATGGAGACTAACCAAGGCTTTGTTCTCTCAAGTGAGCATTTTAAGCCATGCTAGTGAGGGGACAGAATCTAATTTGCATTGCCCGACAAGTAATGATCCTGTGACTGACATTCTTCATTTTGGATGGTCTTTATTGGAACAAGTTGCTTAATGCTAATTTGCTGTGATGTGGATGTTTAAGTGAAAGATGAATTATACAATCTTTATGATCGACAGTCTTCTTTGGTTTCTTTTTGGAATCGCGTGGCGTAACAATATTTATTAAGGCTCACACTAATGGAGCGTCACCGGGCTAATCCCTTTACAATGTACTAAAAATTTTCAATATCCTTGGTTTCTAGTGGACTTCTGGTTTCCTATCTTTGTAATTCAACTATTTCATTAAAAAAAATAATAATAATAATAATAATTTATCAAAAGTTCAGAATATTTTTAAGCCAATAAAATGAAGAGCCATACTAGATACACACCATGGAGTGAAAACCCCACATCTAAAATTATTAAGACGGCATGTTTTCCTTTTACATGAAAATGAGAAGGATGAAATAGTACTATAGCCGCTCACAAACCTGATTTCATAAAATTTAAAAAATAGCAAATTAAGTATATTGAATACAAACATGTGAAGATGGTAACAGCACAGACTATTTCATTCTTAGTACTGTGTGAGCGTTGTACGTGAGCATATGATATGTTCATATGTTAAATAATTTTTACATGCACTGCATGTCTAATTGTATACTAATTAAGTACGATAAACACTCCCAAGACAACAGTTGTCTTCATCCACCATTTCTTCTTTTGGGATAGCTACTATCTCATAAGTTGGGAACTGAACTAACAGGGGACAATTTTCCGAACCAGAGTTCCTTCTAATAACTCTAAAGACCATTCTTTTTCCATACTAGACTATAAGAACTATCTTGCTACAAATACTAACAAAAGAACTTATCAACAAACATCCACATTTTCTTAAATAAAGCATTACTAACTCACAATAGTTACAATCACTCTCATCCCATGAAGATGATGAAGCGATAATCGATAAAATTCCCCCTATATTCCATCTCCATATAGCCTGAAATAAAAGCATTATAGCACATATCTACACATTCTTCAAAACATACTTATTGGAGGGAAAAAAAAAAACAAACAAACAAAAATTGCCAACCTTTTTATCTTTAATTTCACTAGATTGTATCCATGTCTTGATTTGATCTCTATATCTCTGCAATTTCTTAATTTCCTTCTTCAAATCAGCTTCGAACTTCTCTTTTTGATTAGCATTATCGGTATCGTAAACCTGAAGTATAATTCCAGCGCAAGAAACGAATAATTAAACATGAATCAATTAAAAAATTCAGAAGAATCTCAGTCCAACACTTTCTTCCCAAATCAACCAAATTTCTCGATAATTCTAAGCATAAAATTAGAACTAAGAACAACTACAAAGCTCTACAAAAATGGCGGAAGAGAGAGAAAATGGAGAAAACCTTGTTCCAGATGCTGTCAAAAACATCAACACCTTCTTGAACTTTCTTCAAAACTCGATCGATCTCACCTTGTAACTTTCGACTGGCTCCCATTTCGCTCGAATGAACAAAATTGATGCGAAATTGAGTGATTTATCATCCAATTTTGAAATCCCTAATTGGTGAAATCGAGGATTGAGCGTTAATTTTGAGTTCAAAAATCTAGGGTTTTTGGTGGTTCACAATGGAAGCTAGTAACAATGGCGATATAGGAGAGTTTAGGGGAAATGTAATTTTTTATTGAAATTGTTAACTGTCGGACTGTCGTTACTTTGTTAGTGCCTAAAGTCCAAATCAGATGAAAATTTTACCCTAGACCCTCATGTAGGGTGTTCTACCTACAACCCCATCACAACTGCGTCGTTTTGTAGCTGCTGTGGGTAGTAGTGTAGTACTCATGAACTGCCTTGATTATTTTTTTTCCTTGTTTTTTCTTTTTTAATTTCTTCCTTTCTTATTATTCTAGCTTTGTATATATGATTTTAAACCTTATATTTTCTCTCTCCTCAATTGATCAACGTCAATTGATTTTTAATACATACATTATCTTTGCTCAATTTATTTTCTCTCTCCTGATTTTCTTCCTTTACCATTTTGATTGAGATTGCAAAAGTGTGTTTCACTCTTGCATTCGATTGATTGACTCGTTTGTTCATCAATGTGAGTAATTATGATCATAATTTTTTTAATTTTTATTATCAATACTATGTTACGTCAATGCTCTGTTTATTTCAATGTAATTTTGTTACTCAATGTTTTTTGTGTACTACTATTTATGTATTATATATTTTTGTTGCTTCAATTCCATATTTTGATTTGATGATGATGAACATTTTTGGATTGCTAATACTTTTTATTTATTTCTTTAATATGTGTTTGAGAATTGCGTGTTTTTGTTTCGATACCTTTAATTTTTTTTAATTTTTTTTTTTGTTTTGATCATTTTTATATTCTTAAATAATCATTTATATTTTATCATATCAACATATTAATTTATTTATGTTCACTTTCCAAGCTATATATGATCATTTGTTTTTACTTTTTTGTTTTTTTTATAATATTATGTGTTAAAATTTTACAAATTGATCATGTGCAGTTTTGTTATTGAACATTTTATGTATTAATTATTGATCATTTTTGGAACCGTTTATGTTCATTTGTAATATATACTATACATTTTGATTATGATGATGATCATTTGCAGCTTTGTTATTGAACATTTTATGTATTTATGTTTTATCATTTCTGGTGATAGCACTCTTCAATCCAGCATATGTGTTGATCTAGATATTTCATCTCTTGTTAAGGTTTTGTTTTTCTGATATGTTTATTTAAGTATTTGTAACTGAACATTTATTGATTTTATATTGATCAATTGACTTTTTTTTTTGCAGGCAAGGGATTTAAATATTGTTGAAGGTTCTGTTGTTCAAGCTCGTTCTAGCATTTCTACAAATAAAGGTGTTGCTAGTATTAAAATTAATGCTCAAGTGAATCCAAGAGTTCCAATTCATACTAGTGCGTTTACAAAATCTCAAGCTGGTTCTTTTGTTCCACCCACAGTTCCTAGCATTGTTCAAACTTCAGCTCAGGATTGTTCAAACTTCATTCCAGAAATGTTTAAACCCAATTCCAGAAATGTATATATACATTTTTTTCATACAAAGATTAAAATGAAATATCAATTACAATAATTTTTTAACAAATAATATCTATAAGCCTATTTCCTCTCAAATAAAACATCTATCTATAAAACTATATACTTCCTCCGTTACGCATTATGTGCAACAATTTCCAAAAACGGATGTTACACATTATGTGCAACAAAGTAAAAATTTTCATTTATGGTAAATATTTTTGTGTAAAATGACCCATGTACCCTTACTTAAGTTCAATAACACACATTAAATTATTAAGATTACATGTTATTATTATATTAAACCAAATTAATTTATTTATGATTTAATCCCTAATCTTAATCTCTCTCCTCCCTCACAACCTATCCACTGCCATCATCACCAAGTGTTCTCTCACCTCCACCACAACCACCACCACAGCAACCATCACCACCACAACCACAACTACTTTTCACTCTCTTCTCTCACTGCCACAACCCCAGCCCATCTCCTGGCCGAAATCTCCCACCCAGCCAACCACCCATAACCTTGAACGGGTCCATCGTTGCTGCCCTGAAATTCCTAGAAAATTTCCGACCAGCCACACCGAACCCAAAAACCGCTTCTCTTTCTTTATTCTTCTTCGAAAACCACCACCGATCGAGTCACTAGGCTTCTTTTCCCCCGTCAAATTTGTCGCCGACTCTTTTCCCCCTTTTTATAGCCACCGATCATCCTTAAAATTGAAACCTAAAAATCGATTGAGGTTGGTTTTCGGTGGTTATGGAGGTTGTGGCTGCGAATTTGTTGAGGTTGGTTATGGAGGGGTTTCAGATCTTAGTTGTGGCTGCGATTTGGGTGGGTTGGGGTTTCGGATCTTGGCGGTGGTGACTGGGTTACGAGTTGCGGTGTTGATACGAGTTGTCAGGAGTGGGTTTTGGGTGGTTATGGTGATGAGACGGGATAGGGTGGTGGTGGTGATATGGTGATTACGAGATGAGGTGGTGGTGGTTTCGGGGTGTGGGTAGATGTGAGTGGTGGTGGATGTTGCTGCTGTTGGGTGTTGGGCGTGGTGGGTGGTGGGCGTTGGGCGTGGTGGATGTCGCTGCTTGTGGGTGGTAGTGGTGGTTGATTAAATTTTCCTCTTTCTCTCTCATACCCTTAATCACAAACCCTTTACTTTATTAATCACCTATTAACAAAATTTGTCTTGGGAAACGTGCAACAAGGTATAATGTGTAACGGAGGAAGTATAAGATATGAACATATACGCATTCATAATTGAACATATGACTCTACTCCACTGCAAACTTTCTTGCTTTTCTTCTATTTAACCTAGATTAAATGTTTTCTTTAAATAACATCAGTCCTGCTATGTATTTCATCCTTAGCTCCTAATTTGATTTACCTGTTGAACAAAATAAATTAACAAATGTTAATTATATACACTGTTTTATAAATGAACAATATATCTTACATTATTGAACATTTATCACACTTACATTGTTTGGTTTCAAATCACCAATCCAACTCTCATTAGGATTAGTTGTGAAGGTTTCTATATGATTCAAAATGTATACTCTTTGTATAATCAGCGTTGCTAAGTCATTTCATCTTGCTAAGTCATTTCTATACTCTTTGTAATTTTTATCATCAATACTTTGTTGTGTTATAATGCTCTATTTATTTCAACTTAATTTATATATTAAGATTCTTTTCGTTGTCAATTTTCAAATTTTGATTATGATTATGATGAAAGTTTTTGGATTGTTCATACTTTGTTATGAATATTTCGTTGCTTCAATTTATTTCATTGCTCTATGTTTGAGAATTACGTGATTTTGTTTGTATGCTTTTAATTTTTTTTATTTTTTTGGATCATTTTTATATTTTAAATTAATCAATTATGTTTTATCATTTGTACTTACTAATATTTTTTATGTCATATATGCTTATTTGTTTTTACCATTTTTTCTTGATAATATTATATGTCAAAATTTTCCATATTGATCATGTGCAGTTTTGTTATTGAACATTTTATTTGTTAATTAATTATATGTTTATTTAAGTGTTTGTAATTGAACATTTATATATTTTATTATGAGCATTTTTTTTTTTTTGCAGTCGAAGGATTTAAATGTTCCTACAAATAAAAGTGTTGCTGGTGTTTCTGCTGTTCAAGCTCAATGTAATGTTCCTATAAATAAAGGTGGTGCTGGTGTTAAAAATAATGCTCAAGTTAATCCAAAAGTTCAACCTACAGTTTCCGGCATTGTTCAAACTTCAACTCAGGATTGTTCAAACTTCAATGAAGAAATGTTCAGGCCTCATTCCATGAATGATCAATCAACAAATGTTCAAGTTACTCCTCCCACACTTGAAATTTTACATTAATTTGAAATAAAACTTACACTTCTTCTTCAACATGATTTTCTCCAAAGTACTTTTTTCCTGTAGTACTCTTCTCTGAAACATCTTTTTTGGTTCTACAAAAATAATTAGAAATGCACAATTATGCATAATAGTAATTATAATGAAGTTAGATATAATGTTTTCGAACATGAAATTTCATCAACAAATTATAAAATCTAGGGTTTAAACAAACAATTTTACTATAATGAACAAACTACTTACTCTTTTCGTAAAGGTTGTTGCAATTGTTTAATTTCTTCTCGAATGTCAGACATTTCTACTATTTTGAAGCAATTTCGGAGTTTTTGAAGCAATTTTGCTGTAGTTTGAAGCAGTTTTCGTTCCAATTTGTTGGGTTTGATGAGAGAAAAAATCTAGAGAAATGAAGAAGAAGGTTTTAAAGAGAGAAAATTATTTGAAATAGAATTTTATTTATGTAGATATATATATATGTGGGGTAGGGTTATTTTACTGCAGTTAGTGGGTAGAAATAGTGGGTTAGTGACTTAGTGGGGTGGGTAACACTCTAAACACATCGTTTAGAGGGGGTGTAGGTTGGGGTACCTACACTAGGGTCTAGTGTATACCAATTACAAATCAGAACATCACTCGTTATAAAACAATGGGCTCGAATCACTGGAAGGGTGTCAATTCGAATAATATATTGGAGTTTGGGTTGATTTATGATGAGTCAATGTTCAGTCTAACTGATTCAGGTTATCTTTTTCACTCGTTTTGGTTTGGATCGGGTCAAGTTCTATCGATTCAGGTACAGGTTTGAGTCGCATTATCTTCAAATTAGTTCATACATGTGTTTCATTAGATATGTTAAAGGTGATCAAGATGTTAATTATTTCTTTTGTAATGTTATTGATGAATCGAATGCTTCTTTCCTATGTCTTGTTTGCTCATGGCTCTCCTTATTTATGTGAACGACAATCTGTATGGCAACCATATATGGAGCTACGATTTGGGCCCATCCGGGGAAAATTTTGGTAATTGGAGACATAAACCAAATTGAAAACAACACTCAAATATTGGGGGGGAATAATTCGATTTTTGGAGTTGTGCAATTTATGAACTGGAAAATTGAGTGTGGCCTCTCTGACATGGTGTCAGATACACCTAAACAAACAATAGAAAATTTGAACTTGCAATATTTGAGACTCTTGATAGAGCTTATGGAAACGATGAATGGAGAATGGAACACCCCAATGCTTTCACTCTAAACTTTTCCATCCTATTTTTTTTACCATGGTTCA